TTCAAAAAATGTAATTTAAATCTCAGATTATTTCTTTGTTGTTGCTGTTTTTGATTATTATTTTTAGCACTAAAATGATAATAATCTGAACAGTGCACTGACTTTTACACACATACACTTTACTGCTGCAAATTTTGCCCAACATGTTCCGAGATACTTAGCACTTAACTTTCACCCCCTTCCATTTAGTCCAACCACTTCCCTTCAACAACTGCCTTTGAAATCTGTTGTACATCAAGGCTCATTTGCAGTCTGACTAATCGCTTGCTTGCTGTTCCCAACCACAAAAACCACTTTCTGAGTTAGACCATAGCGTTAACATCCCATGTCACAAGCGACAAGCCGTACCAACGGCAATAAGCTCTTGTGTGTAAACCAGGAGTCGAGGTCAAGTCATTCCCAGCTCTGTAAACACAGGAAGCGGATGATCTTTTGAATTCAAAATATGTATCCCTCATTTAAGGAAATAATAGGAGCAGTGTTCAGATGATTAAGTTTGTCATTTTGGTGTCCCTCAGAAATAACATCAACAGATGAAGAGAGAGAGATCAAGACTAAAGGAAACAAGTAATAAAGAGATGACAGCAACTTTAATGGTGCAAACCCGTAAAAGTTTTTGTCTGGTAAAATGGTCTTATACTTGTATAGACCTTCAATGCCTTGTTCAAGGACACTTCGACATGTAGGCCAGACAAGTTGGGAATCAGACTGCTAATCTTCCGATTAGGAGACGACCTGCTCTACCTCCTGAGCCTGGAATATCTTACTCAGGCAGACGTACTCTTAGTTGAATTCAAATTACTCATGTATATGTAAAACTGTCTTGGCTGTACCCCAACTTTGGCCCAGTGTCAGCTGGGGTCAGCACCAGGCCCCCCTCTAAAAAAAAGCTGGTAAAGTTCAAGTTTGGACAGACAAGTAATATTACTTGTGTTGAAAGTCACGTTAACTCTTCCGAAGAGCAACTGTAGAGCAGGAGATTGGTCTGTTCTGGCTCATTTGTGTAAAAAAAAAAAAAAAAGCACCATATTTAACTGTAATCATCATTGTGCACAGAGGTCAGCCATACAAATGTGTCTTGTTCATCACCACTTAACTGCTGAGTCATTAACTGCTCCTCCCCAGGTCTAACATCCAGGGGGAATGGCCATTTCAATCTGGCAGGAAAAAGGTAAATGCAATTAATACAAGTAAATATCTATTTTTTTAAATGGGTGATGCGAGTGTGATTCAAGCAACGTGTCAGAAGTAATGACTTTACTTTCCTGGATTTATGCTGCTTCTAGTGTTTAATAGTTGTTCTGAGAAATGTTTGAGTTGTGTCTACTCACAGCTGACTTGCTGCTGTATGGCATTTAACCAACGCACCTGGCATTACAGTGAGTACATGTATCTGGTATTTGCCTGCTGTGCTGTATTCAGCAGTTTGAGGACATGGTGAATTTGATTTTGTCTGCAGCGTAGTGGCAGCCTTACACATGTTCACTGTGAAGTGGTCGTAAAACTTCCTGACAACCATTTCTTTATCCCTCTCTAATTCGGTGATGCTTACCAAAGTGGTCACCACCTTTTGTTTAAACCTTTATAGAGATGAGGGGAAAGAGGTTCAAAATAATGTAAATGGGAAAATCTTCTGATTGTTACATTACAGGCTTCACTTGCTGTCACTGCAAAAGTTGCTAGGTATTAAAAGCAATGCATCTGCTGACGGCATGTGTTACTGAGTTGAGTTTGACGCAGCAGACAGTCTTACACGGATACAGATACGTAAATAAGACATAAGCATTCAGTAATGATTCAGTCAGTGGAATCATTTAATACCATTAGAAGATCAACACTGACCAGAACTGAGACTTTTTTATTTGTGTGTGTGTGTGTGTGGAGGGGTGGGGTTAGCTGTGTGGGGAATGCAGCTCAATAATGAGAGCATTAAGCAACTAGGGGGTGAGCTGAGTGTGCGTGCGTGGATGTGTGTGGGGGGGGGGTTGCAGCCTAATCCCTGAGGAAAATGTGGAAGAAATTAATCTAAATTACAAG